GCGAAAAAGCGAGAAAATTATTACTCTCATGATCATTATCTCCACTATTTTCATTTTATGATCAATAAAAAGCAAGGTCACAGAAAGGGATGTTTTATAATGTATTACATTCTCCTTTTTTCCTGACAACCTTAAATATTTCTATAAAAATTTTAAATAACTACTAACTATTGCTTTTTAATTAAATTGTGATTAACTATTACTCTATTATTTTTCAATAATTACTATTACTTAAAAAATTGCATATAATTTTACTTATTAACTGCTTTTTTAAATAACTATTACTCCACTTAGGCTCCATCATTAAATTCATGCTTGTTTTGTAGAAGGGAAAATTGAAGACTGAGTCGCAAAGAACATTATGGACCTATATCCATGTCCATAATGTCCTCGCAATTAGGCCGCTATCTGGTAAAAAATAATATTGCTCTCTGATTTTTTTTTCCGTTCACATGATATGTTACATGATATAGGGGAGAGGAGGGCACACGTGAACAATTTTTTTTATTTCTTCATTTTTCAAAAAATAGCATCAATTTCTCACAGTGAAGAAGTCCATATGTTTAAATAGTCTTTTCTTTGTCTTATGGAATTTTTTGAGATTTTTCAATAAAATATTTCTCTACTTTATGATATTTTAGAAAAATGACTTCAATTGTTCACATGTGCCCCTATTGGGGGCACATGTGAACATGCCTGGGGCACATATGAACAAGATTAAAAACACAAAACAATCATCATATTTCAAAGAAAAAAATCTTTATTATAACAGATATAGATACGCATTATACTGAAGGGGTTGTAGCTTACTATGTGAATTTAAATTGTACAACAGTACTGGCAATAAGAAAATAATTTTTCAGTTGTACATTAATTTTTCCGCTGTTGGGGTTTTCGCAACTTCATGTTCCTCAGGAGTTGTAATGGGCCTTTTTCTTTCTTCTCTAATACACTGTCATGAATTTTTTTTCTTTTTTTTTCTATCTTTTCATTTGCAGCTTTAGCAATTCTATCTTTCTCAGGTGTATCAGTTAATAAGCGTGATGCGCGATCAACAATTTTATAAAAATAAAATTTTCTTTAAGAAAAAATTTATAAATTAATTATGGTAAATTAAATAATAATAATTTTAAATGCATGCATATCTTTTAAACTTATAATATTATGAGGATAATAATCTTAATACTATGTAGGGGCACATGTGAACTGTTCACATCTGCCCCATCATCCTTCTTAAACATAACTTGAAAAATAAAGAATTTTTCATTGAGTAAAAAAAAAAATTATTGTCATAAACTTACCTGAATGTTCATATAATGCACTGCAATAGTTAATTTTAGTTTATTAGTTGATTTATACTATGCTTTCACTTGAAGAAACGAGTGATTATAATATATACAACACCAGCTGATACAAAGAAATTGTCAGAATAGAACAACAAAATGTCTCATTCTTCTGAAAGTTTTGCAGAGAGGTAGAACTAGTATTGCCATCAATTGAAAATTTTTTCAGATTTTTTATTTCAAATCATATTGGTAAAACATACCATGTTCACCCGTGCCCCCCTCTCCCCTACTAAAAACTGAACTCAGTGGCGCGACAGCCCATAGAGAAATATCTAACTCTTCTTCATGTCAAAAAGCAATAAACTATGGTATAGTATAATAGAAAAGTTTGCCCATTTTAGTGAAATATATCAGGAATATTCAGAAAGTGTTATTGATGAGGAAATAAGTTTCATAAGAGTTATTTTACCTCTAAATGAATTTTTTTATTTACTTTAAAACGTGAAAATATTAGTTGTAAAATCATGAATTTTTGCAGCCACGAATTCGAATGGTTCTAATTCGAATTTCTGCTTGTATAAATTGTAAAATACTAAAAAATTAAATATTATAAAAAATTTTAAATAAGAAATTTCTTAAAATAATCGTATGCTCACAATTAAATAAAATATTGCATAACATAAAATTCCGAAAACCACATTATACGTCAAAACATAAATGATCAACATCGATGGATAAACAATTGCAGTGTCTGCCTGAAAAAGGCAAATTACGTTTCAGCTTATGGGCGATTCTTTCGTTACGTGTGCTACTTTTACACGACATATTTTAATTTTAACACTCATTATAATAAACTTGTTAGATATTTTTTACATTTTTCGTAAAAGAACACTTCGTAAAAGAACGTTTTTCGTAAAAAATTTTAAATAAGAAATTTCTTAAAATAATCGTATGCTCACAATTAAATAAAATATTGCATAACATAAAATTCCGAAAAGCACATTATACGTCAAAACATAAATGATCAACGTCGATGAATAAACAATTGCAGTGTCTGCCTGAAAAAGGCAAATTACGTTTCAGCTTATGGGCGATTCTTTCGTTACGTGTGCTACTTTTACACGACATATTTTAACACTCATTATAATAAACTTGTTAGATATTTTTTACGTTTTTCGTAATTTGTTGCTAAATCTACATGTGTTTTAAGTTTGCAAAAAGAAGATAGAAGGTGCAAATCAATTTGATGTAGATAAAAATAAAATTCTGAAATTTTGTTATGTATGTTACCCTTTATGATGCTAGATATTTGAAATTTTGAATATATTCATTTAATTCTGTGAAGTATAAATGTGTAAAATCACAATAATTTTTTTATAGAGAAATACGATATCAAAGCTAGCTGTGTTTAGTGATTTTTTAAATTTTTTTCCAACAGTAAACACACACACACATATATATATATATATAAATATAGAGAGATACATACA